ACAAAACCGGAAGTAACGCTATCACCGAAGTCACCGGTTTGCAATTTGACGTCTGTAAACAGTCGTGTGATCTTCGTAAAAGTTCGTGACTTGACCAACCTACAGTTTTGTGGGTTTTTTAACTTCTAATTTTTGCTTTTTTGGTCTATTGTAGCGGTATTTATAGGTGCAGCTCTTTCTTTTGTCTCAAAAGAATACCTTCGTTTGTTATGGAAGGTTGTTAAAAGATTAAGACATTTTGTAATGTGTCACGCCGAAGATGGTACGATGACATCACAGTCCGACTGGAGCTGGGTCAAGAAGTCAGCACACTTTTGGATGTTGTATTCGGAACTGATAAACCGCGGTGTGAAGCGTTGTATAGTTCCGTTTGTCCATCATTTTGACGTGCAAACAAAATGCTTAACATTCTCATCATTGAAAGAGGATTTAAAACGGACTTGGAAAAAGGAAGGTTTAGTCATTAGTGCAAGTTTATGGTAAAAGAGAACGATCGCGCCCAGGAAAATTTACTAAATGTTGTCCGACCACCATTTCTGGTTTTGAATCTTTGCGAAGGATGGATAATTCGCCAAGAAGTAACGGACCACAAGTATACTCTACAGAGGTCGGCGAAAATGAGATTGACTACAAACAAAGATGTAAATATTTGGAAAATCAACTCGAGAAATTTCGGGAGCAAGCGGCGAAAGTCCGCGAAGTTATTGGTCACAAGGTGAGGAACAGTCTTGAATGTTATGTGTTCTGTTGTCGCTCTGGGCATGCTGCGATTGAATTTGCTGAATCGTATCCGTGCAAGTCTATCTTATTTGTTTCATTGTTATTGTTTCACTGTATTCTTCGCGGTTTCGTATAATGTTGAAGTTATCTCAGAAGAAATCTTCAGCCGATCCTGGGTTACAAATCAAGTGTATGTCGGAATGTTTGTTTTCAAATTGTGTTCGGCGACTGATATGAATCGACCCGCCGGATTTTCTGAAGTTTGCACTCCTAATCACCTTCCAAACCTTCATTTAAAAAGACATAACTTTTGAACGTTTTTGTGGCAGTAAAGTAAGCTTAAAATTACATTAGTGTAGTGTTAACACCGATAGCGTAAACAGTAAAATCAACCGCCATTTCGACAACTTGAAATTTGAGATTTCTTCGACTTGATTCGATTCATCAGTTTCATTTTCGAAGAAACTCGAAATTTTGGGCAAGTCAGTCGAAGGAGTTTCGATATCGCGATCTAACTCTTTGCATTTTGACTTATACACACGGACTAGAAATTGCTTTGAGTGGATCATCGAAATTCTTGCATTGTAAATTTTAATTAATTCGGACGATCAGCTGTTTAAAAATTAATAGTCTGAAAGTGTGTTTGCTCTTAAAACAGTAATTCAACAGGTTTCCAGATGTTGTATTTCTCCCAGTCAAAAAGTTCAAGGAAGCGAAGATTTTTTTCCTCTCATTTGGAATCAAGGAAACCACATTGACGACTTGTCGAAAACTCACGAATTAATTGATAGATGATGAGCGAGCACTCAACATTTTTGAACAAAAAATATTTCTGAGAGTATTTTCTACAGGGCTTCTTCTTCTGGAACTAATATTGTTGACGAAAATGACAGAATCAATATTGTTTTTAGCAAGTTGTAGCTTACAGTATTCATGTATGTTCTTGTCAGAGGAATGCACATGCAGGAAATTCATGGTTTAGTAATTCCTTATTTGAAGATAAATTTTGTGATGAAAATCAAGTTAGATGTTGGACTGTCTATATATTTACATGTATGCCAAACCATAAATTTGTCTCGGTTGACATCTCCTAAAATGAGAGTTTTAGAAGTCAATATCACTGTTTAATTTTGTACCACAATGTATCTGTTCCAGCGACAACTATCAAAATATGGCCTACTACATGTGATATTAAAATTTTATTTCCATAAACATGACTCACCTATCTATCATCTTTTGGAAAAATAGATTCAGGTGATCATTTGACTTGCGATTTTGTCATTTTTGAATCTCATTTTAAACTTTTGTCATTAAAATTGATCCAGTTACATGTGATATTGACCTTCTTTTTCAGTTGAGTGACTAATGGTGTTTAAAAACCTGTATAGGCTTGCCTTAAGATATAGGTCATGTACTTTCTTTAAGTTTGTTGCGATACTTAAAACTTCTGAAAATAAACCCTTGAGATAGTGCTTTGAGCAAATATCACCGGGGACATTTTTTCAGGGGGTTAGGGCAAGGGTGTGTGGCCCTAAATATCACCAGAAAAGTTGTATTTCAAAAATGATTAAATGACTTTGTTTAGGTAATCACATGATTTTGAGTGCAGTTTCAAATGAATTAGTCCAAAGAAGTTTTTCAAAGGCTGACAAAATTACACAAGGTTGTGGGGTGACTCCAATTTGCAAAACTTTATAATTGTTTAAAATACTGTTGAAAATAGACTACATGTATTTACAAAGTAAACCTATACAAGACTTACCTTAAATGTGCTGTGGTCTTCAGGTCTTCCAAAGATCTTCAACACTGAAGATACGCCAAGGCTTTTTAAATTCCATGTCACGTGCCTGGCAAGTGGCTAAAGTCCCATGCTGAAGACTGCTATTTTAAAAACGCCACCCAACGTGGGTGGAAAAATTTGGACTAAAATGGATTGTATAAGATGCCCATTACTGGCCAGGATATGGGGCATAAAGAGAAATTAAGAAGCCATAGTTATCACACCAATTCGCCTTGTGTAGTCAAACATTTATATAGCAGCACCAGCAAATATAAATGTGCACACCGCTATATGCCGAAAACTCCAATCGCACACTGGTGCGCCACAAAATTTTAAAGGTCATGTGGAAGATCTTTGGCGTAACCTATGCTGAATGCACCCTGGCAGTTTTGCAACAACATTGTTATTTAGTTAATTTTTTTTCATGAGTTTGGATTTCAAGTTTGAGATAGGGTTGAAAATTCAAGACAGACAAATGATAGCTAAGCATGCATTCTTAGGCTAACTGATCAGGAGTGCTAATCAGGTATTGGAGACCTAATCAGACTAACCAAATTGCTAATTTATGCTAACTGGAAGCTGCTGTGTATATTTAGCAACTTGCCTGATTTTAATTCAAACTGAAAATTCATACTCATGCGATCGTAAAATCCCCAAATGTGAAACTCAAATATAATAATTTATGTTTGATTTTGTTTTACAAAGTTAAAAGACTTGGAAGAACAGTCAAGAAATGCTAACGCAAGAGCTGCAGAAACTGCTCAGCAGGTACTAATAATTTGCATGTACAATAACTGTGTTTAAATTGATTAACCCTAACATTTAAGCGATGAACAAGCTCTCATTTCAAAAACAAGTTCTTATTTCAAAAATCATCCTATTTGATTTCACTTTGACCTAATGTCCACCACACACAGATATTGTAGAACAGGTTTCTCATTTACATGTATAATAATACTTCTAATAATAAGTAATAAAATAAGACTCATAATGTTATCCTTATCTGTGACAATGAATCCAAAATTTTACCCGCATAGTCGGACTGCCTATTCATTGTTGGTCTAAGTTCGAGTGAAATTGTGGCTCAGCACAGATAAGAAGAAGTCGTTTTATTTACACAACAAAATTTAGTTGTTACTAAATTCTCAGCTGTTATCTGTTCATGTATGTACTTGACTTTATTGTAAATAGGCAGAGAGAAGGTATTAATTAATGAGTATTTTAGTAAATGTTATATTAAGGAGATCTAAGTGAGGACCTCAGGTGGTCCTGCCCCTGTAGGAGAGATCAGATCTTCATAAGATTCTGGGCTCCAGCTTTTGAGTATCTCTGTAGCTACATGTATGTCCTATACCTGGTTATCAGTGTGACATGGTGTAATGTTTATTGATTTCAGGTCCAGCGTTTGGAGACTTTGCTTGCAGTGAAAGATCAAACAGTTGCACATTTAGAGACTGAACTTGAAAGCGAGGTATGTTGTTGCTGATTATTTTCTCTCATACAGTAATTAATTGATATATATCTATGATTTAAAATTCTTGTTTACAAATTGGACAAATTTTAAGCCACCCATCTCGTTTTAATCTTGGACAGAAACAAAGGCGAATCGTTCGTGAAAGAGAAGTTGAAGATAAAGCTGCTCATATCAAAAACTGGATGCATAACAAGATTTCCGAGGTATAGCACTTTGTCGGTATTTGAATTTTAATAATGTTTGTTTAGTGTTTGTATATGTGGGAGGGGGAGGTTGGTAGGGATGGGGTCACTGGCCTTATGGTTGGCATAATTCTAGGCTGCGGAGTGAAACATAGGGTTTGAGCCTTGAAGTGTAGGTTTCTGGGTTATGATTTTGTTTTGTCACAGGGGGGCAGGGGTGGTGCAGTGGTGAGTGTGCTTGCTTCTTGCCAGTGTGGTCAGGGTTTGAATACCGGCCCCAGCGTCATGTGTGGGTCAAGTTTGTTGTTATTACTCAGCCTTGCTTCAAGATTTTATTTTTATGGTTCTCTGGTTTCCTTCCCGACTGCACAAGAGCAAAATAATGCTTGAAAGTTGCAATTGTATTTGAAAACAGTGGACGAAGAGCCTCTCTAACTAGTTCTTTATTTATTTACTATATGGTTCGTTTTTGATGCAATATGAAGAAAGAAGAAAAAAAATTGGATGAATGCAGGGTTTTACATTTATTTCCAACAGTATGAAGACAAGCTACAAGAACTTACCAAAGAGAATGAGCAGCTGCGGACTTCACATAAACAAGCTATGGAGCTGATCAAAGAGATTGAGATCAAGCTTCATTTTTCCCAAGGTAAGATCCTCAAGGTTCTCTGGGAAAATAATTGTAGCTGCAGAAACCTGCAGTTTGATCTTGTTGATCACAAGAATTGGAAGGAAAGTGAAAAGTTGTGATGAAATTAACAAGATTGCCATTTTTTAGGGCATTGATGTTTTAGTACAAGAATTAATGGTAGGTTGAAAGTTTGGAAAGTTTATTAATAATAAATTAGGATTTGTAAGCTGGCAAAGCTGCTGGATTGCAAAGTCTTCCATCCAGCAACAAAAAACATCAGAATTTATAATTATAATTATTATTAACTTACCTTTAAATATCAACAGTCTCAGATTTAGCAGTGTTGCTAATTTTGTGATGCTTTTCATTTCTTTTCTTGACCAGATCAAGTGGTTAGATTGTCTAGCGAACTTGCTGAGGTTCAGTCACAGTGTGGTGACTATTATGTTTTGGAGTCTGAAACAGATCAAGGAGAATCTGGCTTTCAATCCTTTCAAAATGAGGATGTTAGGAGTCCAACTCTAGTGGACTCCTCAAGCTCACTAAATACCACACTGACACCCATGTCACCAGATGAGCTGGCACAAGAAACAGTTGAAGACAGCAATGATACTGGAACAATAATATCCGATCAACCGGCTGAGATACAAATAAAAAGAACATCGAGTGGTAAATCCCCGTCAAAAATTCCTCGATATATTGGGAATTCTGATGATCCAAGAGCTGCACAGATATCTTATTACATGTCACTAAAGAGAGGGTTGACGAGCCCAGGTAGCTCTCAGGCGAAATTTTTCATACAAGTACAAAACTCACACAATCCTTACATGCAGTTAGTGTCATCAGAAAACTTGTCACGGAAGAAACTTTACGACAGCCAGTCTACTGTAGATTCAGAGCTAGAAGACAGTGCCTTTGAAACTTACTTACAACCTGGTGATCAAGTTTTCGATGGAGAGGAATTTCATGCACAGCTTGGTGAATTAGTTACACTTCATTTAGAGAACCAAAGTTTAGCTCCAAGTGTTGCAAAAACTGAACAAGAGTCGCTATCTGACAGTAGGTCATCTGTGGGTTCTTTAACAGAACCGACTGTGTCTCCCAATCCAATATACCAATCTCTTGAACAGGAATTAGATTCAGCCCAACAAGAAATAGATTCAGCAAGAACTTGTTTAGATTCTGTGACAGAAAGTCAAGTGTCAGTAGATAGTGGTGTGCCACTTTCACCACCTCCACCTCCTGTTCCTCCACGTTTTGAGCCTGAAAATGCTGTACCTCCGCCTGTGCCGCCAGTGCCAAAAGCTAACTTGCGGGAACAGCCACAGGAGGTAGTAAGAATGGAAGCTAATTTTACTAGTTACCTAGCAGAAACAGAACTTCAGAGTGAGGAGGCCCCTCAAGTTAATAAAGAAGATGTGGCAGTAGCATTGTTACAGGGTGGAATTCAGTCCTGGATGTGGAATGATGATTCAGGTAACGAAAGTTTTCTTGAATATTGGAGGTAAATGTTGCACTGTGGACATCCTTGAAATTATTGCACACAACATTATACGCAACAATTTTGAAGTGTAGAATGTACATGTGGTGGTGTAAAGTGTATTAATTACATACAACATTTGTCCTTGTTGTGCCATGGGACACATAGGGCGCGGTGGCCTCATGGTTAGTGTGCCTGACTCTTGATCAAGCATTCAGGCTTGAGCCCTTGCCAGGGTCATTGTGTTGTGTTCTTGGGCAAGACACTTTACTCTCTCAGTGCCTCTCTGCACCCAGGTGTACAAATGGGTACCAGCACATTTAATGCTGGGGGTAACCTTGTGATGGACCAGCATCCCATCCAATGAGGAGTAGTAATATTCCTAGTCAATTCATGCTACAGTAAGTAGGACAAGCATGGGCCTGATGGGCCACTCAGTGGCTTGTATGCAGACTTAACCATTCATTCATTTACCATTCACACTGTGCAACTGGAATGTAGAATGATTTAAATTCAGATCTGCAGATTAGCATTGCAATAATTGTTCATATCTCAGAATGAAAGAAACAAAGGAACAAATAACAGTAGAGTAAAAATATTAAAGATCCATTACCGAGATTGATCACATGTGATAAAATTGAATATAGCGTTCTCTGGTAAAAATTATTAAAAACATCTTTCAACTGTTGAAAGCCTACGTTTTTAATAATTTTCACCAGATAACGCTATGTTGAATTTTAACAGTAGAGAAGTTGAAGCAGAATCATGAGTTGACACAATTGAGTCTGATTTTGCAGTGGTAGATATCAAAACATTAAAGCAAACATGTGAAGCTACATGTATGAACAAGCATTTGTTGACTGGGAAAAGTTTTTGTTTTATAGTCGGCTCTGATTCTCCTCCTTTTGGGACATTGGAGAACAACACCAAAGACCTCAATATGCTGACGGTATGATGTACAGATGATAGAATTTAATGATAACTTGACGACGTATACATTCCTCAAGTTCTATGAGTTTCCATTCAGCTTAAGTAAAGCTTGAATGATGTCAATACTTCAAATTCCACTTGGGAGACCACATAGATGTTTTGACGCTGAAAACTCTCTTGAAGTTTAAAACTGTCCTGTACCCAAGTAACGTCTTGCCTGTCAGTGGAAGGTGTTCAAAGAAAACTAATAAATATAAAATTGAAATTTTTGAGTTTGTGCTTCAGGTAATAGGTAACTACTGATGTACTAGGCCGAAAGTCATTCCTAGTAGTGCCCCAAATATGCACATCCGTCTAGCTGTTTCAGGACTTCTGTAATGATGTCCTCAAATATCCTCCTTCAAGAAACTTGACTTGCCTGTCAGCCAAAAATGATAAATTTATTTATTTTTGAAAACATACATGTACGTGAGAAGTTAATTTACTCATCTAGACTTGTCCATACATTGCAGGCAGTACTCATATTCTTATTTGACAGAATTTTTTAAAGTTTTGTTGTATTTTCTGTTAATTGGTTTTATTTTTTAACCCAAATTTTTGATATACCAGTATTTTAATTTNGACATCTCCTAAAATGAGAGTTTTAGAAGTCAATATCACTGTTTAATTTTGTACCACAATGTATCTGTTCCAGCGACAACTATCAAAATATGGCCTACTACATGTGATATTAAAATTTTATTTCCATAAACATGACTCACCTATCTATCATCTTTTGGAAAAATAGATTCAGGTGATCATTTGACTTGCGATTTTGTCATTTTTGAATCTCATTTTAAACTTTTGTCATTAAAATTGATCCAGTTACATGTGATATTGACCTTCTTTTTCAGTTGAGTGACTAATGGTGTTTAAAAACCTGTATAGGCTTGCCTTAAGATATAGGTCATGTACTTTCTTTAAGTTTGTTGCGATACTTAAAACTTCTGAAAATAAACCCTTGAGATAGTGCTTTGAGCAAATATCACCGGGGACATTTTTTCAGGGGGTTAGGGCAAGGGTGTGTGGCCCTAAATATCACCAGAAAAGTTGTATTTCAAAAATGATTAAATGACTTTGTTTAGGTAATCACATGATTTTGAGTGCAGTTTCAAATGAATTAGTCCAAAGAAGTTTTTCAAAGGCTGACAAAATTACACAAGGTTGTGGGGTGACTCCAATTTGCAAAACTTTATAATTGTTTAAAATACTGTTGAAAATAGACTACATGTATTTACAAAGTAAACCTATACAAGACTTACCTTAAATGTGCTGTGGTCTTCAGGTCTTCCAAAGATCTTCAACACTGAAGATACGCCAAGGCTTTTTAAATTCCATGTCACGTGCCTGGCAAGTGGCTAAAGTCCCATGCTGAAGACTGCTATTTTAAAAACGCCACCCAACGTGGGTGGAAAAATTTGGACTAAAATGGATTGTATAAGATGCCCATTACTGGCCAGGATATGGGGCATAAAGAGAAATTAAGAAGCCATAGTTATCACACCAATTCGCCTTGTGTAGTCAAACATTTATATAGCAGCACCAGCAAATATAAATGTGCACACCGCTATATGCCGAAAACTCCAATCGCACACTGGTGCGCCACAAAATTTTAAAGGTCATGTGGAAGATCTTTGGCGTAACCTATGCTGAATGCACCCTGGCAGTTTTGCAACAACATTGTTATTTAGTTAATTTTTTTTCATGAGTTTGGATTTCAAGTTTGAGATAGGGTTGAAAATTCAAGACAGACAAATGATAGCTAAGCATGCATTCTTAGGCTAACTGATCAGGAGTGCTAATCAGGTATTGGAGACCTAATCAGACTAACCAAATTGCTAATTTATGCTAACTGGAAGCTGCTGTGTATATTTAGCAACTTGCCTGATTTTAATTCAAACTGAAAATTCATACTCATGCGATCGTAAAATCCCCAAATGTGAAACTCAAATATAATAATTTATGTTTGATTTTGTTTTACAAAGTTAAAAGACTTGGAAGAACAGTCAAGAAATGCTAACGCAAGAGCTGCAGAAACTGCTCAGCAGGTACTAATAATTTGCATGTACAATAACTGTGTTTAAATTGATTAACCCTAACATTTAAGCGATGAACAAGCTCTCATTTCAAAAACAAGTTCTTATTTCAAAAATCATCCTATTTGATTTCACTTTGACCTAATGTCCACCACACACAGATATTGTAGAACAGGTTTCTCATTTACATGTATAATAATACTTCTAATAATAAGTAATAAAATAAGACTCATAATGTTATCCTTATCTGTGACAATGAATCCAAAATTTTACCCGCATAGTCGGACTGCCTATTCATTGTTGGTCTAAGTTCGAGTGAAATTGTGGCTCAGCACAGATAAGAAGAAGTCGTTTTATTTACACAACAAAATTTAGTTGTTACTAAATTCTCAGCTGTTATCTGTTCATGTATGTACTTGACTTTATTGTAAATAGGCAGAGAGAAGGTATTAATTAATGAGTATTTTAGTAAATGTTATATTAAGGAGATCTAAGTGAGGACCTCAGGTGGTCCTGCCCCTGTAGGAGAGATCAGATCTTCATAAGATTCTGGGCTCCAGCTTTTGAGTATCTCTGTAGCTACATGTATGTCCTATACCTGGTTATCAGTGTGACATGGTGTAATGTTTATTGATTTCAGGTCCAGCGTTTGGAGACTTTGCTTGCAGTGAAAGATCAAACAGTTGCACATTTAGAGACTGAACTTGAAAGCGAGGTATGTTGTTGCTGATTATTTTCTCTCATACAGTAATTAATTGATATATATCTATGATTTAAAATTCTTGTTTACAAATTGGACAAATTTTAAGCCACCCATCTCGTTTTAATCTTGGACAGAAACAAAGGCGAATCGTTCGTGAAAGAGAAGTTGAAGATAAAGCTGCTCATATCAAAAACTGGATGCATAACAAGATTTCCGAGGTATAGCACTTTGTCGGTATTTGAATTTTAATAATGTTTGTTTAGTGTTTGTATATGTGGGAGGGGGAGGTTGGTAGGGATGGGGTCACTGGCCTTATGGTTGGCATAATTCTAGGCTGCGGAGTGAAACATAGGGTTTGAGCCTTGAAGTGTAGGTTTCTGGGTTATGATTTTGTTTTGTCACAGGGGGGCAGGGGTGGTGCAGTGGTGAGTGTGCTTGCTTCTTGCCAGTGTGGTCAGGGTTTGAATACCGGCCCCAGCGTCATGTGTGGGTCAAGTTTGTTGTTATTACTCAGCCTTGCTTCAAGATTTTATTTTTATGGTTCTCTGGTTTCCTTCCCGACTGCACAAGAGCAAAATAATGCTTGAAAGTTGCAATTGTATTTGAAAACAGTGGACGAAGAGCCTCTCTAACTAGTTCTTTATTTATTTACTATATGGTTCGTTTTTGATGCAATATGAAGAAAGAAGAAAAAAAATTGGATGAATGCAGGGTTTTACATTTATTTCCAACAGTATGAAGACAAGCTACAAGAACTTACCAAAGAGAATGAGCAGCTGCGGACTTCACATAAACAAGCTATGGAGCTGATCAAAGAGATTGAGATCAAGCTTCATTTTTCCCAAGGTAAGATCCTCAAGGTTCTCTGGGAAAATAATTGTAGCTGCAGAAACCTGCAGTTTGATCTTGTTGATCACAAGAATTGGAAGGAAAGTGAAAAGTTGTGATGAAATTAACAAGATTGCCATTTTTTAGGGCATTGATGTTTTAGTACAAGAATTAATGGTAGGTTGAAAGTTTGGAAAGTTTATTAATAATAAATTAGGATTTGTAAGCTGGCAAAGCTGCTGGATTGCAAAGTCTTCCATCCAGCAACAAAAAACATCAGAATTTATAATTATAATTATTATTAACTTACCTTTAAATATCAACAGTCTCAGATTTAGCAGTGTTGCTAATTTTGTGATGCTTTTCATTTCTTTTCTTGACCAGATCAAGTGGTTAGATTGTCTAGCGAACTTGCTGAGGTTCAGTCACAGTGTGGTGACTATTATGTTTTGGAGTCTGAAACAGATCAAGGAGAATCTGGCTTTCAATCCTTTCAAAATGAGGATGTTAGGAGTCCAACTCTAGTGGACTCCTCAAGCTCACTAAATACCACACTGACACCCATGTCACCAGATGAGCTGGCACAAGAAACAGTTGAAGACAGCAATGATACTGGAACAATAATATCCGATCAACCGGCTGAGATACAAATAAAAAGAACATCGAGTGGTAAATCCCCGTCAAAAATTCCTCGATATATTGGGAATTCTGATGATCCAAGAGCTGCACAGATATCTTATTACATGTCACTAAAGAGAGGGTTGACGAGCCCAGGTAGCTCTCAGGCGAAATTTTTCATACAAGTACAAAACTCACACAATCCTTACATGCAGTTAGTGTCATCAGAAAACTTGTCACGGAAGAAACTTTACGACAGCCAGTCTACTGTAGATTCAGAGCTAGAAGACAGTGCCTTTGAAACTTACTTACAACCTGGTGATCAAGTTTTCGATGGAGAGGAATTTCATGCACAGCTTGGTGAATTAGTTACACTTCATTTAGAGAACCAAAGTTTAGCTCCAAGTGTTGCAAAAACTGAACAAGAGTCGCTATCTGACAGTAGGTCATCTGTGGGTTCTTTAACAGAACCGACTGTGTCTCCCAATCCAATATACCAATCTCTTGAACAGGAATTAGATTCAGCCCAACAAGAAATAGATTCAGCAAGAACTTGTTTAGATTCTGTGACAGAAAGTCAAGTGTCAGTAGATAGTGGTGTGCCACTTTCACCACCTCCACCTCCTGTTCCTCCACGTTTTGAGCCTGAAAATGCTGTACCTCCGCCTGTGCCGCCAGTGCCAAAAGCTAACTTGCGGGAACAGCCACAGGAGGTAGTAAGAATGGAAGCTAATTTTACTAGTTACCTAGCAGAAACAGAACTTCAGAGTGAGGAGGCCCCTCAAGTTAATAAAGAAGATGTGGCAGTAGCATTGTTACAGGGTGGAATTCAGTCCTGGATGTGGAATGATGATTCAGGTAACGAAAGTTTTCTTGAATATTGGAGGTAAATGTTGCACTGTGGACATCCTTGAAATTATTGCACACAACATTATACGCAACAATTTTGAAGTGTAGAATGTACATGTGGTGGTGTAAAGTGTATTAATTACATACAACATTTGTCCTTGTTGTGCCATGGGACACATAGGGCGCGGTGGCCTCATGGTTAGTGTGCCTGACTCTTGATCAAGCATTCAGGCTTGAGCCCTTGCCAGGGTCATTGTGTTGTGTTCTTGGGCAAGACACTTTACTCTCTCAGTGCCTCTCTGCACCCAGGTGTACAAATGGGTACCAGCACATTTAATGCTGGGGGTAACCTTGTGATGGACCAGCATCCCATCCAATGAGGAGTAGTAATATTCCTAGTCAATTCATGCTACAGTAAGTAGGACAAGCATGGGCCTGATGGGCCACTCAGTGGCTTGTATGCAGACTTAACCATTCATTCATTTACCATTCACACTGTGCAACTGGAATGTAGAATGATTTAAATTCAGATCTGCAGATTAGCATTGCAATAATTGTTCATATCTCAGAATGAAAGAAACAAAGGAACAAATAACAGTAGAGTAAAAATATTAAAGATCCATTACCGAGATTGATCACATGTGATAAAATTGAATATAGCGTTCTCTGGTAAAAATTATTAAAAACATCTTTCAACTGTTGAAAGCCTACGTTTTTAATAATTTTCACCAGATAACGCTATGTTGAATTTTAACAGTAGAGAAGTTGAAGCAGAATCATGAGTTGACACAATTGAGTCTGATTTTGCAGTGGTAGATATCAAAACATTAAAGCAAACATGTGAAGCTACATGTATGAACAAGCATTTGTTGACTGGGAAAAGTTTTTGTTTTATAGTCGGCTCTGATTCTCCTCCTTTTGGGACATTGGAGAACAACACCAAAGACCTCAATATGCTGACGGTATGATGTACAGATGATAGAATTTAATGATAACTTGACGACGTATACATTCCTCAAGTTCTATGAGTTTCCATTCAGCTTAAGTAAAGCTTGAATGATGTCAATACTTCAAATTCCACTTGGGAGACCACATAGATGTTTTGACGCTGAAAACTCTCTTGAAGTTTAAAACTGTCCTGTACCCAAGTAACGTCTTGCCTGTCAGTGGAAGGTGTTCAAAGAAAACTAATAAATATAAAATTGAAATTTTTGAGTTTGTGCTTCAGGTAATAGGTAACTACTGATGTACTAGGCCGAAAGTCATTCCTAGTAGTGCCCCAAATATGCACATCCGTCTAGCTGTTTCAGGACTTCTGTAATGATGTCCTCAAATATCCTCCTTCAAGAAACTTGACTTGCCTGTCAGCCAAAAATGATAAATTTATTTATTTTTGAAAACATACATGTACGTGAGAAGTTAATTTACTCATCTAGACTTGTCCATACATTGCAGGCAGTACTCATATTCTTATTTGACAGAATTTTTTAAAGTTTTGTTGTATTTTCTGTTAATTGGTTTTATTTTTTAACCCAAATTTTTGATATACCAGTATTTTAATTTGTCATTTCCTTGTTCTTTTAGTTCTATTACTTTATTATTGGTTTGTTTCAATGTTTTTTAATCATTTTATTTTTTAACACACCTCCAGGAACAAACCTGTCCTGTGTACACAACATTGAAAGGGGTATGTGCCTGCATCACAACACATACATGCAATTCCACAATACATTATATTCTGGTGATGTACAATGTATATACCTTATTATAGGAAATTAACGCTTCATGAAATTAACGCGAATTTCAAAAATTTGCGTTAATTTAAGTCGCACTAATTTATGTTAATGTTAATTTCTGTGCCGTTAATTAAGTTAGAAATTTTTCAAGGTAGAAACATCAACTCGGAAGAAAATTCTGAGTTGATGTTTCTACCTTGAAAAATTTTTACCTTGAAAACTTCCTGTTAATTAAGTTGCGTGTTAATTTCTGCGACTTTAATTACCATTATTTTCCCCCAAATCTGTGACACACTCCAGACATTCTTGACACAGCCAAACAATAAATTTTATTCTTCACATCAATTTTTCACATTTAGAAAATCGTTTACTGTACTTCAACTGAATTTTGTTCGTCTTTGCTGTCAGCTTTACAGTGTTAAAATAAATTGGTTCCTGTTCTCTCTCTCTCTCTCTCTTGCATTAATTTCCTTTATTGGGGAGCAAATTTACCTTCAATTCACGTTAATTTAAGTCGCATTAATTTCAAATACATTAATTAACACTAGCGTTAATTTCCTATAATAAGGTACTCACTTACAAGGATACTACTTTGAGTCAGAAACCTCAGTTAGTCCCTATATGACGTATTCAGTGGGTCATGATTTGTCCCTCAGTTGCCTATATGACGAACTGAGTACGTCAAAAATTTAGGAGATTTGGTCAAACTCCAGGCACACTGGAAACAACTTTTATTGGCACCTGAGATTTGTAGGAGATTTTTCAAGAGACTGCTAATTTCCCATTGCTGTGATGTCATATGGATATCAAATGATGTAAACCTCAGTGAAATTAACCGCATTGAAGGGACACTTTTATCATGACCTTTCAGAAAATGTGTATGGCTATAGTTTAAGTGAAAAGCTTAATACGACACATGAAGTTTTTTACTAGACACCCATTTTCAGTGAAAATGGTGTGGCACACATCATTCACAATGGTCTGGCACCCAATGGGTTGAGCAAGTACTGTTGGTCTTTCTGACCCAGAACAGACTTCCTTGTAGCCTTTTATCGGTGCGGCCAATGTCTCTTTTCAAATTCTACAAAAACTGGAGGTGAGCTCTGGTGCTGATGGGTCTTATTCAATTGCTAGGATTGAAAGAAACCTTGCTAGTGTTGTTATTGTTTGGCACTTTTTATCCTATAATTTCAAAACAATTTTGATTGTAAAATTCTACTTGATTTGCACATCTGAATAGTTCACTTTGTTAATACTTGTTTATTTGCGTGAAACAGAGAGCTTCTCAGCTTCGGAACACACCTTTTTCTGGGGAGTCCACAGACTCCTCTGATAACGAGAGTTCTGCAGGAGACTACTGCACGCCACCAGATGAAGTGGCGGCAACAGAAGAAGATTCACAAGTCAAAGAAAAGACTGATAAGGTTCTTGAAGGAACTACTCACGTTTTGAAGACTTGTGCTACATATACAACAGTTAGCTTGAAAAAGGTAAATTAACACAGTTGCAATAGGTTTAGATGTATTTTGAGAAAAAGAAAGGTTTACAGATGCTTGACAAAATTTTCAAAGTAGAAGGTTTGGTAATTTTGTGGTTGGCATGTCAGATCGATCTACAAGACTTCATCAGAATTGTTGGGTTGTGTTATTGAATGAGATCTTCCACTGTCTTTTAGTGCTTTTTTTCCCCCAGGAGTAAAGGAGTATAAATTAATTAAAGTAATTTGTCGAAGAAAACTGGCAATGCAGGGGAGGGTACCCACAATGTTCTGGCATCTCATCCAGTTGGGGGGGGGAGAGTGATACTTCTAGTCACTTCTTGCTGTGAATTAAGTGCTGGATATGTGTAGCCATCAGGCTGAGTTAATTTGTCTGTCCTGCCATTGGAACAGATATAGATATTGTCATATACTCAAGGCCCATGTAAACAACTATCATAATGCCAAAATATTTCAGGCAGCATTTGTTAATCATATTTTTGTGTACATACATTTAGGAAGATCAGAGAAAGGAAGGCTATCTTACCAAACTGGGTGGCCGTGTGAAAAACTGGAAGAAGAGGTGGTTTGTTCTTGGTGATGGGAAACTCTACTATTACAAGACAGAGGTAAAAAGATGTACATATACTGAACAATTTTGTCATGCTTTGGAGCGTTTTACACATTTCTGTTCACAGGAAAAGATTGAAGTCACTCATTTAAGTTCTCAACATTATATATCTTAATTCTTGCTGTTGGGATTAAGTTCTTCGCTGTTTGATAGACATCTAAGATTCAAGTCTACATGTAGAACTGATGAAGTTGTTCAATAGAGACTCTGATTCCTGGCTGCTTGCATGACAAACACTACACCATTCTTTGTAGAGCTATGTCTTTGGTAGTGAATTTTTCAGGGTAAGGTGGCTGGCAACAGATTCCAGCTCTTCTCATCACTTACACATTGATGGAAAGTGCTGGAAACTGTTGCTAGCTACCTTGAATCTTGGACATGTCTTGAGGGGACAAAGAATCAAGCATGAGGATTGACCTGTGTGAGCTTGTAAGTGTGGAGGTGCTCACCTCCAGATCAAGCAGTTCAGGTTCAAGCCCTGGCTGGAGACCTTGTGTTGTGTTCTTGGGCAAGACACTTTATTCTTACAGTGCCTCTCTCCACCCAGTTGTATTAATGGGTACTGGTAAACTTAATGCTTGGGGATAACCCTGCAATTGACCAGCATCCCATCGGGGGGGGGAATACAATGTAGAAATACTCCTAGTCGTCTCACACTACAGAAACTGGAGACACTTATAAGCTCCAGCCTGATGGGTCACTTGGTTTGCATGCAGACTTTACTTTTACATTTTATGTGAGCTTGTAAGTGACAACATGTTCCCATCTGTGAATAGAAGAATGTATTGGTTATTAACATGTTGATTGTTGCAGAATGACGTGAACAGGAAGCCCTTGGGTCAAATTCCATTGGATGATACTTGCAGAATTGCTAGGACAGATGGTGCACTTACCTTTGAGGTAACAATATCAGGCTTATTTTCTAATGTTGTTTGTTATAATTTTCGTCATATATGATGTTTTATTTTGAAGTTAGCAAGCTTTTTTTTGCTGTCATTTTCCAATTATAATGTACATGTACACTACACTAATGTAAATGAGAATAGGTTAAGTATAAAATGCTGCAATATTTGGTAGATTATTCTTGCAATGAACCATAGTAACACTTTGTAAAGTTTCAACATATGCTGCTAATAATTGCTATGAATTAAGTTCCCTGGCCCATGTTGACATGCAGGTTGTAAGCAATACTAACATTGATCATCTGAACAAGGTGACCACACCCAAGAGGACTTTCTACTTGACTGGAGAAACAACGGAAATTGTAGACAGCTGGCTCAGAGGTGACAATATCATGTTTTGTGTATTTAACAATTATTATTCCACGAAAGCATTTTGGATATGAGATGGTAGATCTAGCCAATGAAGTGCATAGTGGGGAGTTGGGTCTAATAATATCATATCCAACAAGTGCAAGTGGAATAACTGTTTTATTAAAAATGCCCCCAAAATATAGAGAACTTAAATAAAATAAAAATAAAAATACCTCCCCCCAAAAAATCATTCTTACACCTACACTTACACATGCCCACATGTTCTGTGGGTCGAGTCATGTTTCCTGTCCTATCTGTTTCATCCACCTATTTGTATTTGCATCCATCTGTTCGCTTGTTTGTTCTTTCGTTTGTTTGTTCATTGTTGTGATGGTTTGTTCATTGATTTGTTTCATCCATTGCCGGTTGACTGCAATATCTCACAATACCATAACAATGTACATGAAACATTCCACTGTCATGTAACCTACTTTGCAATAAGCAAACTTGTTAGAAGATAGGTTGCTGTACCAGTATACAAAGCACTTTGCCTTTCATTAAGTTTGCCCATCACATTGCTTATGCAAAAATCTTTCCTGACATTTTTTGAGAAGATTCTTAGACAGTCACACAAAAAGTTGCAATTGCTTAGCATGCCTCTGTTTAATAGGGGATGGACGTTGCTGTTATATTGACCACCTTGACTGTTATTTTTCAGTTCTGCACAGTGTCATGAGAAAGTTTTCAAGCACTCCACTGTTTGCTCAAGTAAAAGAAAAGGAGCTCATGAAAGGCTGGCTTACAAAGGTAATGGCCCACCTCTGTTTGCTCTTAGGATAGGATTGAGACCTCTGCAAACTTCAGTTTCTCAATTTCACTCCTTTCAGTCTGCTGCTCTTTTGCTATTTTTGGTTTTGTATTTTGGACTGTTAATGTGGAATATTTTTGCATTAATTTAATCAATCCTCTTATTATTTCATTATTCCTCCTATTGAAATCCTCTTACTACATAGAGGTTCATCTTAATTCTCCAATTTTAAGTGCAGCTGACTGCTGTACCAGGTTAAACATAAATAAAACAAAGAAATTTTATTATTTGACTGACACTAGGTTAAACATGGCTCTTCCAAGAAGTGTTGGAGTGTTCTACTCGGCCAATACCTTTGTTACTACAAGAGTGAAGATGACAAGGTAAGCTGATTGGTTTTAAGAGGAAAAGTAATTAGAGTTTCATAAAAAGTTATCTCTCTTGTGTCATTCTTTAAAAAGTGCCATGATGGACAACAGATCAGTCTTAGAGAAAATTACCGTCCTTGACTGAGGCCAGGATCAAATGTGAATGGGTGTTGAAGATACATGTATAAAATGATTCTCCCTGTGGTTTGACCACCATCTCTCATATGCCCTTGTTGACTTCCATTAGATCTTGTGTTATTTTATCAAACCTATTAGTTTGTCAGGAGAGTCAACAACTGAGACCTTCTGCTTATTTGATAAGCAAACAACGTCAGCTTCCGTGTACTCCCAGCTTGTTTGAGCACATATTAATAGTCATTTACGATGAGGCCTCACCTATCAGCTGTCATGATCAAGTGTTATTCTCATTTCATCTCACATTAAAACCTTGTCAGTCTTTTCTGAGTTCTTGATTTTGTTTGACAGGTGCCATTCAGCATGACACACATGATTGATGTGATAGTGGAGGAACTGGAATCCCCAGACTCTGGCAATGGCACTGTCAATGCTGACCCAGTTCCGTATCGTCATTACACTCTGGTCATGAAATCACTCAAACAGCCTGCTAACACATACCTGTTGATTGAGTCAAAGGAAGAAAAGGTACCAAGCTTCAATAACTTATCTCTTCAACCATTTTTTTTTTAGATTCAAATTGTGTTACTGAGGAATGGCCACGTTATTGTGGCCACTTTCCTTTCCTTTAATTGAAATGTCACTCACTATGAGTGACCATGTTAACGGTGTTAAATTATGAAGGATTATACAGGTTGTGATTTCAGATTGTGGCTGTTGGCCGCATTAACAGGGTTTTCTTATCAGAAAATGTATGGGCGTTTCACTGGGACAAAAAAGTGGCGCAATAATGAGGTGACCATATTAACGAAGTGACTGTAAGGCTCCACTGTATATTGGTGTCTTTGCACTGTAAAATCACCAGTTTTGTACATAACATAAAGAGCCTTCATAATCTATAGTCACCAAAAAAATGTACCAAAAAAATGTCAAGTGTTTGTGATTCAAGAGTCTTTATGATAATATAATATTATTACTATTTTATTTTCTATTTTAGTCTTTTAAAGGGACAGTTTTATTCCTAAATTAGTGTTGTTGAAAAGCTGCTGTCACCTGAGTTACAGTGGAATACTGTAAAATTTGGATTTCTGAATAATTTTTGTTATTTTTTGTCTTAGGAGTCTTGGTTGTTTCATTTGAAAGTGGCATCGGGCAGTGGCATTGAAGACATGGGGACAAATTTTGAGAAGAGCATTTTCCAACTCATCGCACAAGACTGTGATCCAGGTAATAACAACTGAACATGGAAAAAGTAATGCAGCTATGCCTTACCTTTGTGCACTAAGCAACACGTCTAATAATTTTCTTGTGATTTATGTGGCCATTGTATTGTTTCAGAGAGTGACATATGGAACAGGTATGTGTTGACTCACACTAAAGAACCCATTGCTGAACCACTCACAACTCTTCCAACCAAGGAACTTGAGGCTGAAGCACTGAAACTCTTCAAGGTAGGAACGTCACTAGACAAGTTATGTGCTTTAGAAAATAAAAAATAAGAAAATAAAAATGGAAACGAAAATTCTCTATTTTCCACTTTCCCATAATTCACACTGTTCCCCCCCCCCCCCCCCCCCCCCCC